TCACTGTATCATATTTGTTAGCTGTATTAATCTTTTTGAAGAACAAACTGTGGCTTCATCAATCTTTTCTAATTCATTAATTTATGGTTTATTATTTCATCTACTCATTTTAGAGTTATTGTACTTTTTCTCACTTCTCAACTGGGAAAAATAAAAGCACTTTATTATTTCATTCAACCCAGTTTTTTTAGCCTTCTATAGACAGTACCTTGGGCCAGTTCCCCACCCAACGTGCCTCAAATGCCCAAGTCTTCCTTCAGTCTCTTAGGTCTACTTTTTTAATTCAATTTTGCTTCTCTATCTCCTCTTCTCTATATTACCAGTCACCTGATAAATCCTACTGACTCTATCGTAAATTCATTGAAGGGAGGAACATCTCTATCTTTCTACTGCAAATAAATTATTCCAATTTCTTTCAGTTCACAGTTAAAAACAAAGGTCTCTATCATTTCATTTCCTAAAACATGATCTTCCTTCATCATGACCCTCAAGCTTCAGAAGCCTTCCTTTGGTACTTAGGTTAGCCTTCAAGGTCTTTGTAATCTGATACATTTTTTCTACCTGCACCATTTTCTCTCTCAGTATAGGCAAACGTTCCACTCAAATCAAGCACAACCCACAAATTAGCCTTTATGCATTTTATCCACGTTATTTCCCACTGTGAAGCATCTCTTCCACCTGTGAAATTTTCCACAATCATGCGAGGTTATCAAATGATTGGTTGCAAAAACTCATTCTTGCACTTATAAAATATTAATATAAAGTAAAATAAAGCAATATAGAAATAACTTTTTCTCAACGATCTCTTTTATCTTGCTAAATGGACTGTCAGCTTCTTAGATGCATGAACTATGCTTCATACTTTTTCGATCTTTAAGAACACAACGAAGGACTCATCACATTGTAGATTTGCTAATACGAACTGAAATGCAAGTATATATCAAATATAACATACCTTGCCTGCCAGGCGGCTGGAGATAATGCCATTGCTAGATATAAGACAGTCAGCCAGAGTAGTTTTTCCTGTTAAAGTAACAATATTAATTTAAATCGATTTCTTTTTTTTAAAGGGTGAGGTAGGTAGATTGTATCGACAAATTTAACATCTAACCATAGAACTGGTTTAGCAAATATTTCCTATTTACCTATACTAAGTGAAGCAAGATACAATGGGCATTTTAATTAGAACTTTGAACAAAACATCATCTGGAAGGACACAGATTCCAGCACTCCACAGTGCTGTAATCTGTATTGCCAACCCAGTGGATCAACCTCACTTTAAAATCCGTCAAGCAACATTTTTTTGTAAGGACAGAAAAAATTTTTTTAATTCAGGCATAATTTACACAGAGCAAAATGCAGACTCTTAAGTGATAAGAAAAACCACTGTGCCAATCAAAATACAAAACGTCTGACAAACAACTTTTACAGTTACTCAAATCTGTCCGACAAAGAATTTGATCAAGTTTATTGTAATTATTACATCAGTCATCAGATATCCATAACTGTGTCCAGGCCTATAAACTTTTTTTTTTTTTGGCGGTACATGGGCCTCTCACTTTTGTGGCCTCTTCCGCTGCAGAGCACAGGCTCCGGACGCACACGAGCCCAGCCGCTCCGTGGCATGTGGGATCTTCCTGGACCGGGGCATGAACCCGTGTCGCCTGTATCGGCAGGCGGAGTCTCAACTGCTGCGCCACCACGGAAGCCCTAAACTTAAACTCTTGATAGCTCAGCATGACAAAAGGATAGCACAGCAATCATTTCTTCCTCTGGATGATATACTGGGTAAAACGTCACCAAAAAAAAAATGGAACATTATCTTTTGCCATATTTCCCCATGTATGGTCTCAGCTGGCTTTGGCCAGTTAAACTGTCTGAAGAAAATACCCATTTGGCAAAGAAATTTACCCATATCTCCTACTGTCTGCAAGCCAATGGAGGGCATCAGCTACACTGCAGTGACCAATGCTACCTAGTATTCAAACATAAACCCAGGAATCTACTCTAATAGTAAAAGAAATTCTTACGATACTCAAGTACCCATTTGGACCTTAAATACTGTATTACGTGCTTGTCATGTAAATATTATGTATTAGCATATAACCCTAGAGCGTCACTTTCCTGCTTCCAATGGAGTAGAACATTCTAAGTACGGCGAGCATATATCCCCCCAAATGCAAGTGTCAAGAAAGCGGGGACTTTGCTTTATTCACAACTGTATCCCTAGGACCAGAACAAGGCTTGGCATATAAGAAACATTCAATGAATTATCTGTTGAATGAATAAATGAATCACAGGTTTTCTAGGATAGTATTATCTTAACATACTTTTAAATGGTAAATTTTAAAGTAATTTGCTGTACACACACATGCTACTGACTTGCCGCATGATTTAATTCACAAAGCAAAAAAAAAATACTTTTGTCAAATGTCATGCCCTCAAAACGTGAGCAGCATGATTATAGAAACTCATGGGGCAGGGTTAGCCACCAGATTTGTCTACAAAACTCACTCTCAGTTGCCTTCACCTACAAAGTGACCCATCACCTCTCCCTTTAGCTCCTGTAACTACTTCACTTCAACTATTTTACCCATGGCGATAGCCACCTAACCTCTTTTCCGCCCTTCAATCCATCCGAAACACTCTCACCGGACCATTCTTACTAATGTACTATTTGATTACAACATCCCTGCTTTATTCTGTTCTCCCAATGGCTCCCTATTACCTAATAATAAATGCCAATGATCATCTTCATGATAAAGCACGTACCTTCCAAGGGCTCCTCCTTATCATCATTTAATCCTCACAATGCTATAAGGTAGGTTTGGTTTTTATTCCAGTACTCAGAGGCTGTATACTGAAGCTCAAAAAGGCAAAGTAACTTGAAATGGAGTTTTGAACTCAGGGTGTCTAACTCCAGAGCTGGAGCACTTAACCCATATCCTTGTGCCTAGCTGGCATGAAGGGCTCTTTAAGATAGAGTCCAGCCTACCTCTTCACTTTTCTCTCTTACTCCCTCGCCTTCAGGATGGTATATAGGTTTTATTTCACACTCCCAATCCTATCACTTTGCTGTGGCTACGTGAACTAAGGAGTCTGAAACCAAGCGCGGGCTTAGCAGGAGGCAATGCTGTGGTATGAAAGCAATGTCTGTGAGAAGCTAAGCACCATGCATCCCTGTCCCCCTCTCATGTCCCGTGCTTTGGTCACATACATTTCATTCTCCCCTTGCTGACATTATTCCTACTTGAAATGTGTGCCCACATCTGCCATCTTGAATCACCCTTCCGGGGGGTCATCTCTAACAGTGTTATAAAGCCCTTTTCTTAACCCATTACTAGCTTCCCGACCCTCCAGCTCTCTCAACCCTTAGAGTCTACTTTTTGCCTGCCCCATGTTGTGCTGCCTCAACCTCCAAATCACCTCTCTATATAGCTGGGCTGGTGCCCTGTGCATAAATCCTTACCTTCTGACATAGCTAGCAAAATACCTCGAACTTAGCAGACGTTCAATAAACATCGGACGAGTTAAATAGAATCACATAACACAGGTTCTGAGGACATTATGTCAAAGCTACAGACGTGTTATATTACAAAGCCATTTCAAAATACTTGACAAATACTAAAAAACTCAACTTCTCGTTTAAAAGACAACAAAATATACTACATAGAAGAATAACAATCACTAGTTAGCTGTGTTCCTCCCACAGCAAAGTTTTAAAGGAAATAAGACTTGCAACTTAGCAAGCATCACTCTCAACTGCCCACAGCATCACTCCACTGACACGTGCGGAGACACACCCCCTTAATTACTGAAAATAAGCCATTTAGAAAGGATTCTTACCATGGTCAACATGAGCCAAAACACAGATATTCCTGATGTTAGCCGTGTTTTTCTGGAGTTGAATCATCTTATCCAAACTGTTGAGCACCATGGTCACTTATTTCCTGTGACTAATAGTTAAACATGTATTACAAATGGCTGAAGATCGGGGCGTTAAAAGATAAAAGTTTCTACTGCTGGGAGCTGACAAGACTTCTCGAGTCCCTTAACGTAATAACCCAACGGATGCTTACTGAAGGGACAGACCCACCCAGGCCCAAGTCCAATTTGAGCACTTCAACAAATTCTGTACCACAACTGTACTAGCGGAGTTTACTCATCCTTCCGGATCGGCCCTTTGCGACGAATCACAAAGCTCGTGGGGGTTGGGTGCACAGTGACACCTGGAACTCTGCCCCGTACTGTGTACTCGGGCATTATTTCTCCAGGTCAGTAATTACATACTGGAAGGGTCTTATGCAGGAGGGAGAAAAGATGCCGACATCTCTCTCTTACCCTGCTCGATCTTTTTCCAAGCCTCTCCTATCATTCCCACTTGCTTTCACTGGAGGTAAAACACCCAGCTTCCCGACTACATTTTGGGGTCACGTGCAGATGCACTGAACGTCTTCCATTCCTTTCCACACTGGGGAAACCAAGAAAAAACAAACCCTCAACTCTACATTCCCTTTATCCTCACTCCCTTTTTCTTTGAGGATCCCGGGTCCGCACTGAGAAACGGCCGGCCCGGCCCGGACACTACGCTCGCACAGCAGCCGCTCTCAGCCCGGGCTCGCCCCTAGCCCCGTCCGCGCCCTGCCGCCGCGGCGACCCGGGACCCCCACTGCCTGGAGTTGGCGGAAGAGGACGCTCGAACGCCTGCGGGCCCGCACTTACCGGCTGCCGCCGCCCAGCCAGCCCAGCCCGAATCACAGCGCCGACCACACCACGCGCATCACAAGCTCCCTGACCTCCGCGTCCACCTTACGCCCGCGCGCCGGGGGCGGGGCTGAGAACGCACAACCTTTGACCCGCCTGCGTCTCTGGCGCCGCCGGAAGCAGGCGGAGCATCCGTTAGCCGCGCCCCGCCGGTTACCTGGACTGCGCCCGGCGCGGTGGAGTTGCAGACCTGCGGCTGCGGAGAAGCTGTGGAGCCGGCCCCGCGAGCCGGGAGCATGAGGACCTGGTGTCTGTGTCAGATTTGTACGTGCGGGTAAGAAACGGCCGGTGTGGCGGCCGCCGGGGCTTGGAAGCGAGCTGGGGTCTCGGGGAACGGAGCCCTCAGAGTGGCCGCCCCGCCAAAGGTGGAGGACGCGGGCCCAGCGACGTCCCACTTATCTCCGAGGCCGCAGATGCTCGCTGCTCACCCGCCAGCTACTGCGGGTTAAGCAGTTCTGCTTTGTCGGCTCCTATCCACGGGCGCAAACTGAAATGCTATGGCGCCAGGCGGATGATATACGCCTGTGTAGCAGCGGCTGGATGTCAGGCTGCCAAGTGTGGAGACCTGATCCGACGGGAGAGTGTATGCCCACAAAAAGTTTTTTTTTTAATTTATTTAATTTTGGCTGTGTTGGGTCTTCGTTTCTGTGCGAGGGCTTTCTCTATTTGAGTCAAGCGGGGGCCACTCTTCATCGCGGTGCTCGGGCCTCTCACTATCGCGGCCTCTGTTGTTGCTGAGCATGGGCTCCAGACGCGCAGGCTCAGTAGTTGTGCCTCACGGGCCTAGTTGCTCCGCGGCATGTGGGATCTTCCCAGACCAGGGCTCGAGCCCGTGTCCCCTGCATTGGCAGGCAGATTCTCAACCACTGCGCCAGCAGGGAAGCCCCTATGCCCACAAAATTTAAAATAAATAAATAAAAGGAAATGGAAGGAGAATAGAACGGTGTGCAAGTCTATGAGTTTTCGACCTGTGTTAGGCTTTCTTCTGTTCCTAGCTTTCCATCCCCGCCTAGCCATATTCCCATTCCCAGTCCCATCCAGACTGCTTTCCTTTGGGATCCGACGGACTGAAAAAGTAGTAGATAGTCTCCTGAAACCCAGAATTGGTCAGTGAGTCCTGTCTAAGCTGTAAGCAGTCATCTCCTTCCTCAGCTTCCTTGCTGACCCAGGGATTAGATGACTGTTTGCTAAATAAATATTATGAATATGTCAGTCCTGTCAGTACTGTAATCCCCTCCAAAAGAAAAACACTTCACATGGTGATGGAAAGCAGTTTCCCCGTAGTTTCATGGTAAATATTGTTTTAAATTACTAATCGGATGTAGATTAGAAGATAAGTCAGCCTTTGAGGATTTGATTCATATCTGAAAACGCTGATGGGCAAAAATATTGATTAATTTTTTTCTAATCTTTAAATTAATTTCTATCCAACCTAAGTTCCTTTCCCATCCAGCTGTCAGGAAATTTCAGTCTTCATTATGTTGGAGGCTTCCTTTTCTCCAAGCAGATAAAACGATCCAGGGAGCAGAGGCATTGCCAATGCAAGAGGAGTCTTCTCTGGGCTTTAAACATTGGTAATGCTTCCCACTGAAATGTCTCTTGCTGGAGTTCACATAATCCCTTCAAGAGTGGTGCCAGCGCTGCTTTGAAGTATATGTTTGAGGTACAAGAATCTTGGCAAAGCTGGGAGCCATTGTTGTAGGGTTCCACCTAGCCAACTCTTGATATCCGGCCACCTCTTGGATCACTGATAGAATGGGGCAAAGACCCCCGCTCTTCTAAGAACTCCTTGCCCCTCATCTTCTACCTCCTTCCTCTCTCTGGGGAATCGTCCCCTCTTCCCTCTTTTGCAGTCCAGGACCATCTGTTTCCTCTTAGGACCTCATTTCCAGCAGGACATCTGATTTTATCTCTTCATGAATTGTGTTTAAAAAGACAGGAGAACGTGTTGACTTAAGGCAGCTTATATCCTCGGCCCTTCCAAAAGTCCTGCAAGAAGGAAATGTTAGGGTCCTGACTACCTGCTTGAAATAAAGGAGGGGAAAAAAACAAGGAGAACAAACTCATTAATATTTCAATACATTGCCTCTCTTTAGGAGGATCAAGATTGTCAAAGAGACCACTTCAGGGAAATTTTGACCTGCATCTGCTACTTTTTCATCTTGCTGTTTGAATCTTTTTTTTTTCATACTATGTAACTAAATCTTTTCAAATGGCTATTTCTTTCACTATATCAGTCAAAACAACCATCTATCTCAGAACATCGTTTTCTCTGCCATGTGTATATACAATTGCTCATGTGAGTTAAACTATGATAAGTTATTTATGTTTGCATAGGCGATATCATTGCCCACATGGAACCACAAGGATTTATGGAAATTCTGACTTGTCTTGTCCCACAGCTGAATATTTGGAAAACTATCCTATGTATGGCAGTGTTCTTCCACCTCAGAGTCTGAAGCCCAAGGAAGAATTTCCAGCATATCGTTGTAAAATGGAAGGAATAACAACATTTAAGTAAGTATCAAGAAACTGTTTGCTTCACCTAGTTTTCTCCCCACTCTTCTGGGTTTTTTGTTTTTGTTTTTTGAATTTTTGAATTTTATTTTATTTATTTTTTATACAGAAGGTTCTTATTAGTTATCCATTTTATACATATGAGTGTGTATATGTCAATCCCAGTCCCACTCTTCTGGTTTTAATAAGGTGTTTTTGTTTTAAACTCTTTAAACTATTTAGTTGATTTAAGTTGAACCATTCTAAGAAGCAAGAGACTAGTTGAGTCACAACTTGAGGAAAACAGAAAGATGAGAATTAAGTTAAATGAGAAAAATGAGAAGGAAAGGGGATATATAAAAAGTTCTATTGATTGTTTTTGTTAACCTCCTAAAATCTCTTGTGTTTATCTGCTTTCCATTGTGACCAGAACCTAGAGGAATGCAGCAGCTTCCTAATGGTTATGTTTGTATCTACTCTAGCTTTTGCATCTCTGATCTGTTTTCTAACTTTAGCCAAGATGACCTTTTTATGTACTGTTTATTTTTTATTTTATTTTTTTATTGAAGTATAGTTGATTTGCAATGCTGTGCCAGTCTCCGCTGTACAGCAAAGTGACTCTGTTATACACATATAGACATTCTTTTTTTATATTCTTTTCCATTATGGTTTATTGACTATAGTTCCCCGTGCTATACAGTACGACTTTGTTGTTTATCCATCCTATATATAATAGTTTACATCTGTTGGGACTTCTCTGGTGGTCCAGTGGGTGGGACTCTGTGCTCCCAAGGCAGGGGGCCCGGGTTCCATTCCTCATCGGGGAACTAGATCCCGCGTGGATGCCGCAGCTCAGTGTTCACATGCCGCAACTGGGAAGCCTGCATGCCGCAACTGGAGATCCCGCATGCTGCAGCTAAGACCCGGTGCAGCCAAAATAAATTTAAAAAAAAAAGAAGAAAGAAAAAAAAAAGTTTACATCTGCTGATCCCGAACTCCCAGTCCATCCCTCCCCACCCCCCACCCCCCTTGGCAACCACAAGTCTGTTCTCTATGTCTGTCAATCTATTTCTGTTCTGTAGATAGGTTCATTTGTGCCATATTTTAGATTCCACATATAAGTGATACCACATAGTATTTGTCTTTCTCTTTCTGAGTTATTTCACTTAGTATGATAATCTCTAGTCGCATCCATATTGCTGCAAATGGCATTATTTTGATCTTTTTTATGGCTGAGTAGTATTCCATTGTATATATGTACCACATCTTCTTTATCCATTCATCTGTCAATGGACATTTAGGTTGTTTCCATGTTTTGGCTATTGTGAATAGTGCTGCTATGAACATAGGGGTGCATGTATCTTTCTGAATTAGAGTTTTGTCTGGATATATGCCCAGGAGTGGGATTGCTGGATCATATGGTAATTCAATTTTTAGTTTTCTGAGGAACTACCACACTGTTTTACATAGTGGCTGCACCAGCTTACATTCCCACCAACAGTGTAGGAGCCTTCCCTTTTCTGCACACCCTCTCCAGCATTTTTTATTCATAGACTTTTAAATTTTAAATTGTGGCCCTTCTGACTGGGGTGAGGTGGTGCCTCATTGTAGTTTTGATTTGCATTTCTCTAAATACTTAGCGATGTTGAGTAAGATGACCTTTTTAAAATGCATATCTAATCCTGTCACCTCCCTGCTAAAACTGCTGTTATATTTTCCCATTATATTTAATGTATACCAAAATCCCTTCATACTTTGCTCCCTGCTTTCTTCTCTGATTCATTTTCACTGTAATGCCCTTTGCACTCTTACGGTTACATCTCATAGGACATGTTTCATTTCTTGAAAGTACCAGGCTTCTCTTGTCACAGAGCCTTCCAAGATACTATGTTACCCACGTGGAATTTTTCCTGCCTCTTTACCCTAACTAATGCCTATTCAACCTATAGCTCTCAACTCAGTTATCACTCTGAAAAGCCTTCACTGACACTCATCCAGTTTTCAGGCTAGGTAAAAGTCCCCTATGTAAGTTCTCAAAGCATCTGCCTATTATTTATCATTAGATTAGTTTCAGTGTTCCGTGAAAGCAGGAACTATATCTGTTCTTATCTCAGCATTCTATTTCCAGAAACCTGTTACAATGCCTACTAGCTCATAGTAGGCACTCACTATTTATTCAGTGTGTGAAAGACAAAAAAGTCCATTTAAGCCTAAACTTTTCGTTTGGACTCAGCTTTTTTGATCTTTGTCAGTTCAGTGGGTTCTTTCCTCTATTTTCTTAATGTGTACACTATATTCAAGGTACAGTCTTAGGCATTAAGTATAAAATTATCAATAAAGAGAGGTTCTTGCTTTCCAGGAACTCATACATCAGCTTTCTATAATTTAGGGTTTTTGAAATGCTCTGTAACAACTTTAATTTTTAGTGCTATCCATTTTCTTTTCATTTCAGATGATAGAGTTTATTTTACTTACCTAGCAAAGGTGGAGACCTTCAAACTTTTACTGCAGTATTTATACTTTTAATATTTCAGGCAACTCTTGCAGTGCTTTGGTAATTCCAGTTACTTCTGTAGGTTTGCGGCTCTTCCAGAAATTTGAAGATTTTCCATAGTCCTCATACTTTGGTGTGATTTGGAATCATCTAGAAAGGTTAAAATTGCAGATTCCAGAGCTCCACCTAAAATAGTCAGTAGACAATGAAGTGGGTCCCAGGAATATGCATTTTTAACCAGCATTGCTGGTGATTCTGTTGCTACAGACACAGTGCAATGGGCAGGTATTTGACTGTTCACTGGGTATGACAGGGAACAGAAAGAAGGGCTTTCCCACTGTGTTTATAGTCTTGTGGGAATGATAGTCCCAAAACAAAAATCAGGTAAACAAGATAACTACACATTATAGTAAATGAGATGAAGGAATTGAGCAATTGGTTGAGATAGAGCAAATGGGAATGGTTGCTCTTTTCTCTTCACCTTTATTCCTTTCTTTCTTTCTTTTTTTTTTTTTTTTTTGCAGTATGCGGGCCTCTCACTGTTGTGGCCTCTCCCGTTGCGGAGCACAGGCTCTGGATAGGCAGGCTTAGCGGCCATGGCTCACGAGCCTATCCGCTCTGCAGCATGTGGAATATTCCTGGACCGAGGCACGAACCCGTGTCCCCTGCATCGGCAGGCGGACTCTCAACCACTGCGCCACCAGGGAAGCCCCTATTCCTTTCTTTCTTGATGCCTTAATGATTCATAATGGAAATTTGAAATAAATTTCACACTATTCATATTTATTGAATAAAGATTTTGCATTTAACCAACTCGAAGTGTTAAAATCAGGAAAGTTTAACCTGCCACATCTTTCTTTAAAAGGCAATTGCTTTTCAGTTCTGGGCTTTCTCAGTTGCCTTGTTCAAGTAGCCTGTAATAGTAAAAAAATAAAATAAAATAAAAAAAGAAATGTCCCAACTCCCAAAAGGTTCAAATATGTCAACAAAAGTAAAACTTCCATTTCTTAAATCATCATCTTTCCACTTACTAAAACATTAGATCTTTTCTTCATAGTTTGACTAGGGAACTAGCAGTATTTCCAAGAGCCATATTCGAGGGGTTTGGAACTCTTGCTTGACTCCTTCATGGTGACCACGTTGACTAGGCAGCAGAAAGCAGCTGATTCATCTGTACAAACAAAGAATCATGTGTCATTCTGTTCTATACTTTTCTATAATATAGGAAGAGACTGTAAAGAGCAGATGTCTGGACTTGTACCGGACTTTTGATCCTTTATAGTATAGCATTACAGCTGTAGCACAGTAGATGATTGGCAGAGTTGGCCGGAAGTCTGCCCTGAAAGTATGATTCCAGACATGTCAAATGTTTTAGGATATATCAGATGAATAAGAGTGCATTTACCCTCTACTACTTCTCCATAGAAAGCTGCTTTGGGTTTGGAAGTAAACTTTCTAACTCTTAACTAATCTTACTAGAGAAACTAAGACTTCTAAGCTTTCTCTGTCCTCTCCCCTTCCTGATTGCATTTTAGCCTATTCCTCTCTAGCTGGTATTTGGGAAGAGCAAAGAACAACTCAGATGTCTTGAGAAGCAGAGGTATGGGATTTCTGCTATTATTTATCCACTAAATAATATTTCATAAGCATTCGTTAAGTGTCAGGTGCTATGCTAGGCACCTGGGATACAGTGGTGAGCAAAACAGTCATGATCTCTGTGCTCACAGATGTTGCAGTCTCGTGAAGGTGGCAGTCAAAAACATCACTCGAAATAAGTATAAAATTGCCACAGTGATCAAATCTATGAAGGATACGCGCAAGGTAACTTCGGATCCAGAATAAGAGGCTTGACTTTATCAGGGAAATGAGAAAAATGAGCTAAAATCTGAAGGTTGTAAAGCAATTAACTGGATTAAGACTGTAAGAAAGTGCCTTCCAAGGAGAGAGCAGCATGTAGCAGGAAGGAGCATGGAAAGAAGGAAATTGTCAGAGAAGGCCAGCAGGAGCAGAGGAAGCAAGAGGAAGCACGGTGTGATTTGAAGCTAGTGAAAGAGGCCATGTTCAGTTTTTTCTGTATCCTTAGAGCAATAAGAAGCCATTGAAGGTTTCTTTTCTTTCTTGTGTTTTGTTTGTATTTGTGTTTGTTGAGGGGGGTACGAAAGAGAGGTGAGGAAGAGGCTAGGGAGATGAAGGCAAGAATGACCTGATCAAATTTATGTGTGAAAGGATTACTTTGGGTGCAATGTAAGAAAAGATTGGAGAGAGAACTAGTAAGTGAGTTTAGGAAGGTATTGAATTGATTTGAATGAGCTATTATGAAAGCTTGGAATGGTGATGAGAGAGAGAAAAGCGGATTTAAGAGATATTTAAGAGGCAAAATTGACAGGAGTTGATGATGAACGAAATATAGGAGGGAGGTGAGGCGTGAAGGGTTAGTCCTAGGTTTCTGAGTACAGCTGAAGAGATGGTGATACCAGTCAGTAAAATAGGGAACAAGCCAATAGGCCCAGATTTGTTGGGGGGAAATAGTTTTATTAGGGGTATACTAAGTTTTGAGGTGCCACTGAATATCCCACAAGCCACTGTAAAAACTGGTACGGAGCTAAGAGAGGAGGTCTGAGTGGAGACGTACGAGTGAGAGGTGTTTCCATATAGTTAGTAATTGCAGCTCTGGGAGTAGAGGCGTTGTCCTCAGGAGGGAACGTTGGGTGAGGAGAGTGGGTAGCCCCAGTGTCGAGGAACTGCCCAACTTCATGACTGACTATAGGAGGGCAAAGCTGTGTAGGAGACCAAGAAGAAATAGTGAGGAAGGCAGGGAGAGAGAATTTCTCAGAAATAGAGGGAGTGGGCAATAATGTCAATTAGGACTTGAGAGGTTAAGTAAGATGAGGACTAAAAACGTCTGGTGGATTTAATCACATAGAAGTCATGGTGCACCTTCAAGCTGTGTTAGAGAAGTGACAGTGCTGGAAACCAGGTTGAAGTGGGTTGATGGGGGTGAGGAAATGGACTTAACAAGTCTAAGAGGTTATATCATGACTAGAGAAGGGATTCAGTGAGTTTTGGTTTTGGGAGCTTATGGACATATACAGAAAATATTGATTAATACAAGTTGGTTTAAATAAATGATACAATGAGTGAAACAGTCCATAGTGTCCCAAAGAAAAAAAGCAATTTTGAAGATTTTTAGTAATTTGTAGAGCTAACATAGCATCCTTACTGTGTACTAAACGCTCATGTGTATGCTGTACATACATGCATGTGTCAGTCTTTCAAACAACCCCATGAGGTAGATGGTATTATTGTCCTATTTTATATCTAAGGAAACTGGAGCATAGACAGGGTAAGTTATCCCACATCATAAATCTGGTGAATGACAGAGCCAGGATTTGGACCCAGGTAGTCTGATCAGTCTGAGTCTGTGGTCTCACCACCCCACCAGACAACCTCAGTGTCTGCAGTACTACCTCTGCCACATAATGTTATATAATGCCCAGGGTGGCTAGGGTACCATATGACTCCTATCCCTGGCAAGGGCTTCTGGGGATCTGAAGATTGATAAGACCCACATCAACACTATGAATATGATTTATGTCTAAAGGCCAGAGTTTAGACATAAATTATTTCTTTAATTTATTACTTAATGATGAGCAGAAAAGACAGCATGACTTCAACAAGAAGAGAGCATGCCCAAATAGTTTATTAGAGTCTTTAATAGGATGAATAAGGATTTTGACAAAATGGACCCGGGCGATATAGTTAAAATTGTTTTCAGATTCATTAAATCTTTAACCTAAGATTTCCTTCCAGGTTAGGAAAAAATTCAATTATTTGAAGATTTTATTTATGTAAGATCCAATCAACTGAGGATCCATTGTAAAGCTGTTTTGAAAACTAGGATTTTTGACATTTATTTTTCTTATATGTAGTCACTGGATAGGATATAAAGGAATTCAATAATCTCTTTCAAGTAGCTTATCAACCATCACCATTTTAATATCTTCTTAGACTTTTCAAGTAAAAAAAAGTCTGGAAAATTTTAATACTGCATTGAAATACTTCAAAATAAAAGAACCTGTGAAGCTGTGTTTCAAATTTATATATTTCAGGTCGGATTCTCGTCCTTATGAAATAGTCAAACAGCCTCGCCATGCACCAGAAGAATATAAACCAAAGCAGGGGGAGATTGATCTTGGTACTGCCTACAAATGGCATCTTAATTCTTGTAGAGTGCAGCGTGTGGCAATAGCTCGGCCTTTGGAGAGACAAGTTAAAAAAGGGAAGTTGGGTACTGTCCCAGCCTATAAAGGTAACTTGCCATTTCAAAAATTAAAGAGCCAAAAAGCAAAAACTTACTTCCAGCTTTGAGATCTAACATCAAATCATGATTTTGGTGCATTGCCAAACTTAAGTCTCCATGGCTTAGGAAAAAACTTTTTTCTCTGTTGTATAAATAGTATTGTATAGCGAGAAAAAAAACAGACTATTTGCTTGACGGAGAGTTAAGAAACCTGGATTCCTGTCCAAATTCAGCCACTTAATTAGTTTTCTCTGTCTCAAACCATGAAAACAAAGGATACCACTGAACAAGCATTATGTCCTGTTTGTCACATTATGCCACATGTAGTCGGCACTGTTCCTTTCCTTCCACCCCAGAATGAGTTGAAACTTTACTGAGCATACTGGAGCCTTTGAGAAAGTCAAATAAAGAGCAACCCTCTTCTCCATTCAAGTTCTGAACCAACCGATAAAGCAAAAGAGTTAGCAGGTAGAGAACCAAAATACTCCCTTTATACTGATAAAGGCTGGAATAGAGGATGAAGCTTGCATCTGTTAGCAGATGGTCCCTGATACTGAACCTCAGAATACAATTGGCTTGTCCACCCAGTGAGACAGTGTTGGAGCACCACATAGGCAACCTGCTCCTCCGAGACTTCCAGCATAGAATACCTTCTGCCTCCTGGCAACTGACTTGGAAGAGTAAGGACTGTACAACGTACGACCAGTTTCTTTCCAAAAATCAATCTGATTATATAATATTCTGTTGCTTTTTGGCAGGGAGTGGGGTCCTTTATTTTTAAACAATAGGCTATCTTGTTCATATTTTTTCTGTATTTTTTTTGTTAATAATGTAATTGCATATTTAGGCTTAAAGCCTTTTCACTAGTTATGTGATATAACTGAATGGGTATGTCCTAATATAAAGCCCTTTTATACGAGTGATGCCATCCACAATAAAAGTAATGATTTATACTTTAAACAGGTAATAACTGAATACATACTTTTTCTTTAAATGTCACTCTTACCAGTTTAATGGGTAACTAAAGTATATGGTATCAGTATGCTGTGATCTATATGTCAGCCCAGGAGGGAGATCTATACAAAGGACACATTTTTAAGACAATGCATGTGGTGAACAAATGTATTGTTATAATCTAATATAGCATATAGTAATTGCTAAGATATGTGTTTATTGGTATGCGGAGGAGATAGTGTATTGTGTAATAATTTGACATAAAAAATAATTGGTGAAATGTCCATACTAGGTCTTTTAAACAACCGTAGTAAGATTTTCTTTTCTTTTTTTCCCCACAAAGTCTATTTAAAAATACAACAATATTGATATTCCTTGATGCTGTGACTATTTACATATGACACACACACACATACACACCAACACTAGTTCTGGCTTCTCATTACCTGGGTTTCCTATAGATTCCTGTACTTCCACTCCTGTAATCCAATGTTGAGGATTCCTGGGTTCCTTCTGGCCTTCTCTCTACTCATCTTCCCTAGTGAGGAAAAGTGATCCTTGTATTTCCAGGTTTTCAGGCATGAGACAACAAATACTAAGGGCCAAGGGAATAATTCGTCATTCTGCGTGATGATTGTACTGCAGGTTTTGTAGATACCTACTGAAGGACAGGTCTGTAGCTGAAGAGAAATCGCAGTGGGAAGAGACTCTGTCACTGTCACCGAAGAATTAGAGAACAGAGCAAAGGCAGAAATGGGATATGATTAAAAACAAAAACGAAAAACTCTACAAGATGGTGAGAAGGGTGACATCTAGATTCTGGAGATGTGGTTCTGTGAAACTGGTGGCTCTTAGACAGAAACATACCTACCCCTAGCAGCCTTGCTTTAGAAATTCATTCAGATTAAAATGTAGATAATGAAAATAGGTCAGTATTTGATTTGATACTTTTTAGGGATTACTCTTCTGTGTGCAGGGCACTATAAGGAGTAGAGATCTGAATTGAGCATGGTTGTTGACATTTAAAAACTTTACAGTTGAGTTGAGAAAAAAGAGCGATAATAGCCTGAATAATTAAATAGTCGTCTGAGAAATAAAAATATGAGATATCACAAGAAGGGGCAAATAATTCACTAGAAAATTAATGGAACAATTAGGGCTTCAAACACTTAGGCGAAGCAAGATATCACTCCAGGCTAGTCTGGGAATGCATCACAGACTAGTAAGTATTGATATATAGAAAGAGGAGGGATATCCTAAAAGCTAGGATGAGATGAGCAAAAAAATCATAAAGCCAGAAAAATAAGAGGGTTGTTCAGTGAACATGGTGGGAACCAGAGAATTTCAGGATCTGAGAGATTGGTGTATAGTTCGAAAAATGTTAGGTTGAGATCAGATTGTGAAGTCTTGATTGTCAGACTGAGGAACTTAACATTTTTCTGGTAGCCACTAACATTTCTGAGTTCTGCTACCAGATAGGATATAGCAGATGGCAGAGAGCCATTACTTCCACTGAAACAGTTTAAAAAAATACATACATTTTTAAAAACCTTTTTTTAATAGAAGCAAAGAACTAAAATTACAGAGACAGGGGAGCCCTTCCTAGATGAGCTGAGATGGCCAACTGTGTACTTCTCTGGGAGCATTTGTCAAGTCTAGGCCAAGGCTAAAGATTAGGGTAGCATCAGCAGCGAGACCCTCCTAGGGGAGGGGAAACCAGTGGAGCAACTGACATGTAGGCCAGTGTGACCAACTGGAATCTGTAAATACCCCTGATGTGTGACTGGTTTTCCTTGTGGGATGTCTGCTGAGTGATTGGGGGCATGGTGGGCTAGAGGACTGGGCTAGAAAGAGCCCACAGAAATATCCCACAGTCTCACTTGGGAGCAGGTGCTTAGGGGAGAAAGTCCCACTAGAATGAAGGCTCAACCACAAACACATCACAGGTCTTGTCCTTGAGAAACCTGTAACTAGAGGAAGACTATGTCTAACTGAAGGTGCCGCTGAATGCCAGCCACGCTCAGTTCCTACCCCCATATCCTACCTGCGTAACATAGGAAAGAGCAAGCTGTCTTCTGTTGAAAATAACATTGATTTTAGTTTCTATGGTTTTCTTATACATGACATCCGGCACAGAGTAAAACATTATGAGAACTATGAAGAATCAGGGAATATTTAAAGAGGTGATGGTCAAGAAATTTCCAAAATTGATGAAGGAATCAGGCTCCAGATTCAAGAAGCTTAACAAACCCCAGAATAAACACAAAGCCACATCTGGCAACTGTCGTCAAACTTCTGAAAACCAAGTAAAGATAAATTCTTAAATTATAAATTCTAAAGATAAATTCAGTTAAAGAAAGCCCGTGCGCAGCAAAGACCCAACGCAGCCAAAACTAAAATAAATAACTAAATTTATTAAAAAAAAAAAAAAGATTGAGCCTGGATCTGGACAACAGAGGAACACCCCCCTCCACACTCACACCCACCAGATTACTGAGCACTGAATAACAATCAACAACAGTGTACCACTGGAGAGAAGCAAGGTTACAGAGAGACATTCTCTGAGGTGCAGGTGCAAAGAGAACGCCTAAAGCTGAGGATGGCACAGAAATTAAGAAAACCAGCCCCCCTCTCCCCCTGCCCCAAAGCACAAGATAATGCCAAAGGAATTTAAAGCTGATGGTACGCTGAAGGTAAGCCTAGCAACAACAAAAGCCAAGTCTAGCTCAGCTACTGATTGAGCTGACTTAACCCCCTTCACTAAAGCCCTGGCAAATGAAAATGTATATCCATTTCTGGACATAAATACTATTTATCCCAGTCTCTACTGTGCTACACACAATATCCAGCTTTCAAATACAAATTATAAATTGCACAAAAATAACATTTTATGGAAACAGCAATGCCAATCGTTTACATATTATCTATGGCTGCTTTCATGCTACAGTGTCAGAACTGAGTAGTTGCAACACAGACCATATGGCCCACAAAGCCCTAAATATTTATTTAATGAAAATGAAAAAATACGATATTAAAATGAGTGGGATATATCTAAAGCAATGCTTAGAGGGAAATTTATAGCATGAAATGTTTGTATTAGAAAAGAAGACAGTCTTAAATTAACAGCTTAAGGGTCCATCTTATGAAACTAGAAAAATGAGCAAATTAAGCCCAAAGCAAAGTAGATGGAAAGAAATAATGAAGAGCAGCAATCAATGAATCTGTAAACAGAAAAACAATGAGAAAATCGATGAAACCAAAAGCTGAATCTGTTGAAAGATAATAAAGTTGAATAACCCTAACCACACTGACCAAGAAAAAAAAAAAAAAAAAGACGCTAACTACAGATATCAAGAATGAAAATAAGGATTTCACTATAGACTCTGTAGAACCTTATTTTACATTATTGTTTCTTCTATTTCCTTATTCTTATCTTTGATGATTTCATCAGGTTGCTATTCATTCCATGTTTGCCTCAAGAAGGCAAAAATTAAAATTTAGGAAGTAAAATTGACAGAATTGGAAAACGACTTGAAACAGGGAGAAGGGAGTGAGGGAGAGAAGATTAGCTGGGTGAAACCTTTACCTGAGATACCAAATTCAAAATGGTGTTTTCTTGTTGATGTGTTATTTGTGGGGAATATGAGTCTGAGCAAGATGCTGAATTCAGCTGGGGCATACTAAACTTCAGTTTACCTCTTGTACATCTGTATAGAGGTGTCTAGTAGGAAGATAGATATGTTGGTTTGGATTTGAAGGGAGGTCTGGAGTGGAGATTCAAGTTTGGGAGTCATCAGCTTATAGGTAGGGGTAAAACTGTGAGGCTCGTTTGATGATCTGTAGATTGAGAAAGAAAGGATAGAGCCCCCTGACTTTATAAAAATTGGCCCCAATTCCTTAGTGCCATAAGACAACACAGGGAACAGAGTCCCAACTACTAAAAGAACTCACATATGCAGCTGAGGACTTTTGTTCTCAAAGAAGAACCTAGAACAGCTCGCTGTATAAGGATGGAGATGGAGCTCTGCATAGAATGTTCATGGTGAGCAAACACGTGCAAGCACCTCATGGACTTAAAACTGTTCAGGAGAAAGCAAGCTTCCTGTCTAGATTTTAGTGGCTAGAAAGCAAAAGAATGAGCTGAGGAAACTGGATTGCCCTTATCTAACAAGGGTAATACTGTAGCTGCCAAATGAGCAGACTGCATTGTTAGATGTGGATGGCATTATATTTTCTTTCCATGTCATAAGATACTACGAATAGATGATGTTAATAAAGACTGTGATGTTTTAAGGCATTACTATAGAATGTTATTAATAAATATTCTAGAGCAAATAATAAATTTTCTAGGCATATGAGCATAGGAATATTTATGAGAGGCAAATCAATTTTCTGCAGTTATCTGAAATTGATATTCTTGCTGATACATGCTGTCAAACCTTGTCTCAGTCTCCAAATTCTTGCTTCCTTTTTGAAAACCAAAGTTGTTTGTTAAGGGAGAAATATTCTCTTATTCTCTTATGAAATTAACATCATTTTCTTGTAGACATTTTGGCAACAAAGGCTCTCCCTGTATGTTTATAAGGAACCATAGGTCTTCAATAACATCCTATGGTTTCCTTTTAGTTACTGAAAAATAGTGCTATAATTTTATACTTTAGATTGCAAACAACAGAGATTCCTTCTTGGTGCCTCAAGAAAAAGCGAGTTTATGGTAAAGCTCTATATGAACTGGAAACGGAAAGCTATCGGGTACAGAGGAAGCTTAAGGGAAGAGCTGCTCCCTTCATCTCTGCCATGAGCTACATGGCTTCTCTCACAGCAGCTTCACTTCCCTTTACACATCTTCTCTGATTGTCATTCTACTAAATGGCCTCCTCTGACCATGTATCAATTCTGTTTCCGTACAAGTCTATTGTGAAGTCTTCAACTTAACCATAGCTCTCCACTTCTGCTTCATGGCATCCTTTTACATTCTTCTCCCACTTTTATCTGGCTCTGTATTTTCAAATTTAGGTTCACAAGAACGAGAATGTGCTTGACCCAGGTCATCTTTTCTTGCCAAGTTGTTTCTTGCCAGGTCTCTACTACCCTACAGATCGCCTGCTCTTAGGTCAGGTGTCCACTCTCATTCACACATTTGTAGCTTGAGGGTGGTGGGAGTAATCATTTGGTTGAAGACCTGGCAATCTTGGCAGAAATGCCTATGGCTGAGGAATTTGTCTCCTCAAAGGAGGTATCCACATAACAAGCATTTGAGTTTTGGCCTTTCCAATAAACAGTGCATGGACTTTAGCCTAGACTCCAGTTCTTTATCTTGTATATCTTGTCTTTTATAAATTAATTTTTGGTATTTAGAAGTACATATTTTGGGGTGAAGTCAATTCTGTAGTAGTTCTCGGCTTTCCACCTTTCTTATCTAGAAATGGAAAACCTAAATAACCCTCAGTTGAAATATAAGCACTTCAGTTTTCCATCCATGGTCTAGGTAAGCTGCAAGAAGCAGAATTAAGGTATTTAACACTAAATCCCAGACTCAGCTCTGATATTCATTTCTAAATTCCATGTACAATTTCTAACACTTTAGAAAGCACTCAGTTTTGGCCCCTCACCTCTAGATGACCCTTCATCATTCAGGAATGCCTTAAAG